AATTTTAAGCTGGCGCTTTTTGCGTGAAGTCGACAGAAGGATTGCGCTGTTGACAAACTGATAAAATCAGTTAATTACTTATAAGACAGCGGTGAAAAGAATTGCTTCGTTCAAATGGAATGAGTGATTTTGTGCCCTTACCCACTGAGACAATTTCGTAGTATGACTGGCCATTCAGTGTATATCATGTTTTTATTAGATCTGCGTTAATGTAAAAATCCTAGTCTTAAATTTATACGCACCAGATTTGTTGTACAAGTTGCAGTTCTTAATCTATGAGAATTTCACAGAATATTATTTATAAGAATTATAGTTCTTTCTTGTTACATACCTCTAAATACTTTATACATCACGTTTATTTCTGTTATTATAAAAATGATTTACTCAGTTTGATTAAATAACATGTTGATTGAAAGTTTACTGTAATATTTTATCTTCATGGGATATAATTTCTGTGGTTTTTCTTTTCTTTAGTTATCCCCTCCTTTATGCATTTTTTACATTATATTTCGCCTCTCGCTCAATCGTGCGAAAACGGGAACAGCAATGATATCATAATTGGAAGTAGTTTCCTTACGTCTAAAGAACAGCAGAGAAACTATTACATGTTTTCACTTCTTTATCTACGACGATGGACAGGTCAAAAGAAGAAATGGTTTTTTTGCTGTTCTGTATTGATATTGAAAATGGGAGAGCTGTATGCACCTCCCGTGCGCATCGTTGGCATTTATTTCGTGCACAGATCGTCTCTCTATTTTGACAGTTTTTCTGGCGTTTTTACAAAAGCTTTCAACGGAGGCACGTTTTGTCCCAACTATTTTGACTACAATTCGGAAACGGGCTAAAATCACTTAAATTATGTTTACTTCACATTTTTTAAAAGACGTGATAGCTAGTCTAGTCACGCTAGTCTACCTGCGTTAAAGTAGGAAGCAATTCGAATAACTCGAAGACGAATCACCCCGAACTGATTCGCGCTGACTGGTTTTCGATTCCTCTCTTATCAGTACCATTTCAATCCAACCTTGATCCCAGACTCTCTCTCCTGACAACAATGGCCAAAGAAGAACAAGGAGGTAAAGGAGAGAGATTGATCGAGGTTGATTTCAATCCATGAAATAAAGCAAGTTACAACAGTTTTAAGGTTAGCTTTATAACACTGTTACTCGTTGCTGCGTAATCGATCAAGTAATTTTATTATGCAAAACAGTGCAAGTGATAGTGTGTGCCGACGTGTTGGAATTGAATGCGCAAATTGTTGTACTGTATGTTCAACAACACAGAGACGCTTAACGTTCCTGGAAAGAAATCTAACAATTTGTTTTGATTAAGGGTCTGAAAAATTAAGGTGGCTCTGAACTCTTGCATTTACAGAATTTTTTTTAACTTTGCCAAACGTTGCGTATTATTATGCCTATCAAAATTTGATAACATTTAATTGTAAGCCCTTAAAGCTGTGGTGAAGGGTGTTTTTAGCAGGTCAAGCTGTTGCTATGGTAACCTATTGTGTCACGAAAATGATAACAACGTGTTCACCAATGATTGGGCAGTGTTTTTATACCATGATTGTGGCATCAAGTGATAAAGAGTGGTTGTAACGACCTATCAAAATATAACTGCTGGAAACTGTTTTGAGCCACTTTCACTGACTAATAAAATTAAATTTATAAACACATAGGCAAGTACAATGAGTCGAGCATTGCCAATGCAATGCCAAGCATTATTCATCACAGTCAAACAGACTATGTAAAAGATTGTTACATTGGAGAGATATTAGGTCAATTTTGGATATAATGGAGTTCAAGATAAAAAAAAACATTTTGGCATTTTGATTTTCATTGATTTCAGAGAAGCATTTGACACCTGAGAGTGGCACTATCTTTTAAACTGCCTTAGAGCCTTCAATTTTGGCCCAGCTAACGTTTTATTTTAGCAACTGAATGTATTTAAAAATTTATGCGGACTTGAAAAAACAGAAGGTATGTGGATTGGGATTCTCAAAAGCAATGAAGAGAAACAGCTCGGTATAAATTGGCCGAGCAAACCCATTAAAGCCTTGGAGGTGTTTTTCACGTACGATCAAGCACTAGTTCACGAAATAGTACTTCCAGGATAAACTAGACTGAAAATGACGAATTTTAGGCATGCATGTTTGGTCCTTTAAAGGACTTTCCATTTATGGAAAAGTTACCATGATCAAGTCTCTGTTCATCCCAAACTTGGTCTATGTAGCCTCGTTACTTCCAACACCAGCAAATATTATCAAACAAGTGGAACATATGTTTGACACATTTTTATGGAAAGGGAAAGACAAGGAGACGAGGCTCTCAGCAATTAACAATTTTAAAGGAAGTGGCACTAAAATGATAGACATAGACCACATGGTTATGGTTCAAAGGCTAGCCTGGTTGGAACGAATTTTTTGATAATATTGAAAGTACATGGAAAACTTATATGGTGTTCCTGTTAAAAGATGTCAAAAGTTTGAAATTTTGTTTTGTTTTTAAGCTCTCGCAAGCAACCACTTGACAGACAATAGAGCGGAAATTGGATAACTTTATCGTATTCCTAGATAGTACAAAAGACGAAAATTTCTCAATGGGAAGTACCGGATTTTTTCTCGAAATTAACTTCTCATATGAATAAAACATTTAAAACATCGGGTAAGTCTCGGCAGTTACCATATGCTAACGAGGAAAAATTATTACCCAATATGTTCTAAGCTCTCGTAAGCGACCACATCCCGCAAGCGACCACACAGGCTTGACATTTTGAGTGGTTGCTTACGGGAGGTTCGACTGTAGTAATAATACTAATAAAGTACAATGAGTCGAACCTGTATGAGAAGAATTATGAAAAGGGGAAGTTATAATAAATACAGTCGTGCGATACAATAATTATGGGCAAGTTCAGTCTCAAGGCCAGGAGAATTCCCATTCCCTGTAGGGAATGGGAAGTCTCCTACGTAAATATAAGCAGACGCTCTTTGGGTTCGTCACGCAATCTTCCTGCGTCTGCTGAGGAGGCTGGGGAATGGGTGTCAACATAATCATGCTCAATCCTAACTGTGATGATGCAATTCTAATTGCATGCAAATTTCTCTTTCCTCTACCCGAGTAGACTAAGTCGTCCAAGTTGTCAATTTTCTCTTCTGAAATTTTTTTAAATCGTGTTTCATTTCATGGGCTTGACTGATCATTTTCGAGAGAGAGATATTTTCAGATTTAGATTTGGATAGAGCTATGAAAGGTTGAACCACACGTGTTCTTCGTCGCCAGACCCGAGCCTTCCGAGCCTCCCACGTTCATACCCTTAGTTTCCAGGCCTTGTTTTGGTGTAGGGCCCACTATTCAAAATGACGGATGGTCACAGGGATGTTGGACATTTTGCCGACATCCCTGCATCACGCTCGTCGAATTCACCACAAGCGAATATTGAAGGTGGGGAAAGCTTTTTCGTTTGTTTTATCGTTTCATCTAGAAACTATATTATTAATGTCTCTCGTACAACATTCCTTGCAGTGAGCGAGGAAAGTGATCAGCACGTGGGCATGGAACTCCAGGTAAACTTATAAGCTTACTGTAAATTTGTTACAAGTAAAGTATGATCACTACTGTGGCTTAGATGTCGTTCTTGGAGCTGCTTCAGAACCTGAACATAAGNTTATAAGCTTACTGTAAATTTGTTACAAGTAAAGTATGATCACTACTGTGGCTTAGATGTCGTTCTTGGAGCTGCTTCAGAACCTGAACATAAGTTGCTGTCAGTGTGTTTCTGAAAACCAGATTTTCGCTGAGATATACATCTGAACAAATTATGCCTACGTATGTCAATTGAGAAAAGAGCTAGAGTCAATTGCATCTCCTTCCAACCAGCCTTTCACTTTGGAAACCAGACTTAGATACGCTTGAACATCAGAAGTATCCATCTCTCCACCATCTTCGACCTTGCGTTCCAAAAACTAACGTAGCCAGAAAATAACAGCTTCATAGCTTGCAGAAGTCAGATGGTTCTGATTTCCCCTCTTGTTTTTCGTTTTTTCCGAGTTAAAGAGGGGGATGAATAGGGGTATATTAAGCCGCCGCTCCGTACCATTTTATCTTCAAATTCGTTGATCCGCCAATATTTTCGTTCAAATCCGGAACCGCATTGTTTGAAAAATTTCTCTGGCTTATTTTCACTCCAACAGTATGTAAGATGTTTGTTTTTAGTGCCCTTCATTCCCTGGGTGGTGGCAGGGGTACTCCTTCATGTAAGCCTTAAAGGTATGTGCAGCACCAAAGAGCATGGGGTTTGAGCCATTTCTGTCTGAAAGAAGTATGCATTTCAAACATTTTGGTCAGCAATCAGGTATAGTTTGTGCTTATTGGTTAGAATACATGCAGGCCTGTAACCAGGATTTTATGTGGGGGGGTGTTAACGAGGCCAAAGTGGACCAAACTACCGAAATGTATTTTTTTTGTCTGATCCGTTTATTTAGGAAAGTAGCAACACATGAGAAATTGTAACGGCAAAGTACACGGTACGAACTGAATATTACATTTGTCGAATACAACTGTTTGAACTAAGTTATAAAGGACTAATTTTANGCGGCACAGGGAAATGGAGGAGTTTTTCGCATGGGCGGTTACGGGCGGCACAGGCGTCAATGGGTTAATAGAGGGAAATGGTTAAGACACATGACAAAGTTCTTTGTTGTATTTTTTGGGGCTATTTTGGGGGTTGACCAAGCTCAAAACCTGGTTAAATACAAAAGGTGGTTGTGTGTGCTCATACAATTAACCATTACAAGCATTGCGATTATGTAATTCATGCATAGTCAATGCCCATAAAACCAAAGATGTACAGGGTCAAGGACCTTCAAACATAAATCTTAGCCTGTTTGTTTGCTTCTCTGATGTTTACCGGGTTTCTAAACCATTTCCCTCTATTAAGAATGGTTTGATCTGTTCAAGAAGGACTGACCCTCGAGACTGGGATCAAACATGAATGGCTCTTACCTTTTCAATGCTCTTCCATCGACCACCGTCAGAGTACTCCACATAGTATTTTGTCACAGAGTCGTTGGTGGTATGGTTAACGTGTTTAAAACCAGTCCCTTGAGTGGCAATCGCACAAATCGTTGCAGCCTGATATGGCAGCTGTATCTCCAAATATTCTACTGGTACGTTTGTCGTCTGTGAACACCAGGCGTGTTTTCCATTCAAGCGAGCCGATGAAGGAGGGTAACCTTTATAGAACGAAGACGCTGAGAAGCTAGATTTTGGTAAGCTATCTTCAACTCCTAAGGGTGTGTCTTCACAGGGACCTAATGATTAGATCGAACAAATGCAGCAGAATTAAATCACATCTGAACATAAAGCACATGTGCTGTAATTACAGGTTACCCAGCGCCCTTATGCCAACATTGGACCATTAATTCGGGATTTCATGAAGATATCACCAGCGATATCGATGGCCTTTCCAATGTTGTAATGCTATCCGGTCAAAGCGAATTTCGTTCTTCGCTAATTTAATTTGTCCCTCAGATTCCGGACCCAAAGCGCTAAGTAAACGTGTCTACTTTTTGCCACATTAAAATTCAGTGAAAAGGTATAGAACATTTTCGAAATAGGATTAAAAATTATGGAGTGATGGTACAAAACGTTCATATGTCAACCTAGCTAGCTACTGCAAATTTGATGGCAAACGGACAAATTCCCTTTGACTTGTAGCTTTCAAGGGTTGACTCGGGTGCTCACATTTAGAGGTCGTGAAAAATTAAACAATTCGATCAATAGCCAGCTTTACAAGCTTTAATTAGATAAAGGGTTTTAGGTATCTGCAGTTTAAACCGGACGTGCACTACTTGTACATACATTTTTGTAGATTGATTGTAT